TTTCGACAGATTTTATGTAAAGTACTGTCATATTCTATGATCTTAGTATTATATGATATTAAATTATATTTAAAAATTTTAATTGTAAGCAATTACATGTGTAATAAATAGTTTCACATATATATGCTTCTTCAATACTGAATAAAGAACATTAAATTCAAAGTATTATTAATTACCTATTTAACTACATAATTATGAAATTCAACAAACACCATGATATTAAAAATGATTATTATTTTATACCTTGGGAAACTGAAGTTTTTGTTATGGTAAATTGATGTAAATTCTGGTGTAAATATACACTCTATATAATTAGTGAAAATTACGTTCATACTCTATAAGATTAATTTTACTTTAATTAAAGTTAATTTTTGCTACGAGGATACTAAATTTAGTTTCCCAAAGATTAAAAAAATGAATAAATTTATTATAAACTATGACAAATGTTATTATTATTTATTATTACTGATTTTGTAATAGATTTATTAGTAGATATTAAAGAATAAATATTTAAAATTTATTGATGATTTTTGTGTTTGTTAATTCGATTTGAATAATAAAACATATAATCGATATTATTAACGAGCTTTATTTTAGTAATAGATGAGTGCATGTATTATATCTTTTGGATACATGAAATATAATAAATTTCTTTGCTAAAAGTGTCCAATATAAGCTTAATTTCAATCCTTTTAATTCTAATGACATGCATCTGTATAAATTTTAGTTTCATATTTTATTTCAAACAATGCAAATACAAATAAAAATGTAACCAGAAAAGTCTAAACTCTCTTTCGTCGTAATAGTAACAACGGTAGTAATAGGAACGGGAATTGCATGTGTAAAATCGTGAATAGATCGAGTAGGGGTCGTATAAAATCAACCACACTATATTAGTATTAAAGTCCAAGGATTATTCAAGGACGATTCCTATTTAGCACCGAGTATTTCGTGTTAAATGTGAAGTTTAATTTGTATGAACGCAAGATCGCGGCTTATCTCACTTCAGTGAATTCTCGCCAATCAGACCAATGAGTAATTTGTATTTGTTCGTATCCAAGAAACTTTGTTGATAATTAGATTAAATAATCGCTAGTTTTACACTGTATGAACAATGTTTTCAAAATAACTTTACACAAATTCATGATACAAAATATTTTTATTTAATTTGTTTTTATTATTTATGAATTGTTATTATAATTTTCGATTACGGAAATGCATGGAACAATATTTATACAATCTTATTGATCAAAATGTTTACAATTTTATTTAAACTTTATTTTTTATACTGAAACTTCAGATTAGTTTAAGGACTTTTGAAACTAATTTGTATTATGGTTTATTTATTCACTTTGCCGAATTTAATGCTCTAAAGTAATACCAGATTCTAATTTTCAATCCAATGTATAAATTTATCATGAGAATATTTGATATGAGAATGAAATTAAATATCAGAAACAGAGAAAAATTTTGTATTTCAAAGTAATAATGCGTATAACCAAGAAAAATTGTGATTTTTGGAATTTCATTACATAATTTAATCTCATAGGTACAATATTTTTTAATGTATTTCAAACTATTTAATAAAAAATAGCTTCGTATAAAAACTTATAAGATTGAGATCTTCGTCAGTATATTGAAATACAAAATTTACATTGGATTATGTAAAACATAATTTAGTAAATGGTTATGTAAAAAGATTCGTAGACTATGAGGATGTGATAAATATTAACTAAAACGTTATATTGTAATTTTCGAATTTTTATTATTTAAATATATTATAGTCTATGTAATAAAATAAAATAATACGTTTCGATCTAAGCTGATTGTTTTAATCGACTACTTAAATTTCGTTCATTTAAATTTTACATTTTCTTTAGTCTATCGCAGTCATTTATTATAAGCTTTTATTAATATGTAAGAGTAGATTTATTTATGCAAATAAATACAAAAGACAAATAATTAATTAAAAAAATTAAAATTACACTTTATAATGACACCAGTTTTTTAGAAGATAATAAAATTTGATTTTATTTTTTTTTAATTTAAATACGTACTTTCATATCAAACAATGTTTAAGAAATAACGGAATGCTCTTACTTATCAACATTAATTTCAATATCTATGCAGCATAATTATTAAAATAATAAAAACATGAAAAAAATACGTTTACTAAGACGGATTTTGAAAACAGCAGCAAATATAGAAAATAAGTAAAAGATTTTGTAATACTTTGTGTTTTACAATATAAAAATACAATTAGATTTTCTTGTAAGAATGTATTATTTATATAACTGTTAATTAGTTTATATCATAACTTACATAAAAATTTATTACGTATATAAGTAATAAATGCAAAAATAGTAAAAATTCATAGTTAACAATTGTTCGGAATTTTGAGCATTTTCATATCGAGGCCATCAGTTCTCGGAATATTTACATTTTTTCAAATGTAAACAGCAGAATTCTCGACTAGTCAAAAGGTAGAGTTCTCGATCGCTTTACAAGGCTGCAAAGCCTGAAAATCGGAAAGTTACATTTTCTCACGCCAAATTTCCGACTAACTACTCAAAGCTTGTATTCGCGCTATTGCGAGTTGCCGCGCCGATACTTAAGACAGCACGCGACAAGACTTCTGGTAGTTACACAGTGTCAGTAATTATTACTCAGCAGTCACTCAGTACGCAGTGTCGGTAGTTCATAAAGTGCCACTATTCAATTATTCGTCCAAACCAGTCATCTACGCCCAAGCCACGTTTTGCACGGAGTCTTTGCCAGGAAAGATTCAAGTAACGTATACTTATTATTGCAAGGAACGCTCGTTCTCTTCTCTAGTACTCCAAAGACAACAATCCATCAAGGGCAGACTGCCGTTCTACAAATAGTCGACTACAAAATTCATGGTATCAAATCCTTCTGCTCTCGAAGGAAACTCGTTTATCTTTCTTGCGAATAACTAGCACACTAATCCTCCCATACTCCCCTTTATGAGTATGATCTATTCTCCGTAATAACTACCACAGACACATGACCATACTCCCCCCTTGCGTATGATCATCAATTCTCCCTGCTGAGCATCGACGACATCGCCATCATTATTATCAACCACATCATTGTAATAGAATAATTCCCTTTCTCTCAGAAGAACTAATCATAGAACAGCAATATTGTAATTGTTAATAAAACAGAATAAACGATGTCTTAAAACGAAGTTACACACTGTACAACATACTTTTCAACCCTTTCATATGTGTCTTTTCTTACTCATCGCTACGGAGAGAAACTAATAAACTGAACTATCAAATTTGGCGGTTCGAGCCACAAACTAAAACTTTATTTTCGAACATTTGATCCTTCGAGTCGGATAGCCTTATCGCCGGATAGTAGATTTTAATGAAAGGAGTCGGACCTTCAAACATTTGGTCCGCCGGATACAGTGGAAGATAATGTATCGCACCAGCGCCTTGCACTTGTGTAACTTCAAAAAATCAGCAACGCCTTGCATCAGTGCATCATTTCAGATAGTACGTGGTTCTACCTTAAGGAGCATCAAAGATTTCTGACCCCGTCTTGATCCTCATAGATAACTACGAAACTCCGCTCAATCAAATTGGAAACCCCTCTCTATCTATATTTAGAGATCTATCTCTCTCTATAATACTCGTCATCAAGAAGTCTTGGGAGATTTACGACCTCCCACTTTTCTGCAGTGCAAGTCGACAACCTCACGGCAAACAAGGATAACATGGAAGGAAACCACACTAAAAGTTCTAGAAAATCCACACTCAGGAACGCTTCACTATCACCCTTACCCTTTGAATACGAGAGAAAGGCACAACTAAATGGATTCGTACCTCATTAATCAAGAAATTGGCTGAAGAATGTGAGTTATTACAATGCTACATATCACTAGATGAACTGAATGATATATTGCCGCAAGTTCAGGAATTACATAAGGTCTTCATCTATGATCATTGCACACTTGTATGTAACCTGGGCATCTGCCCACATTAATCATGAACATTAAAAAAAAAAAAAATACCTAACAAGTGGAAAACAAACAATATAACATGGCTTCAAAAATCATCATTAATCTTCGTTAATTCTCCAATAAGGAATCTAGTTTGATAAAATCCTTACCAACCAAGGTATATACACAAGGGACTCTCTTACTAATGTGGAAGTTGTACACAAGCAACAAGACAACTCATGCAGCCAACATAGTTTATCTATTTAATAATTTACCACCAAGCACACTATGTCATGAGGATCTGGAGATTTAGGACCTCCTACCTCCATATATAGTGCATGCCAACGCCACGTGACAACTACGACAAAGCTGCAAGGTATCACCGATTCTCAACGCCATCTTAGAATCATTATTATTGTGTAGTTTATGAAATAAGAAGCTATGAAGCAGTTGAAGACATTGATAGTCATGGAACAACAAAGGGACTATATCTTAGTATGTCTGATCTCACAACGGTTCAATCATGCCTCAAGGGAATGAGTTCATTAACGACTGTCCAGACACGCTGTACGACTATAACACCATATGAAGGGACATCAAGGATCTATCAAGTATATGTAAACAATGTCCAGTCCAACCTTTCGGCACAAGACACAAGATTAACACATGTGAATGCTGCACCCCACGCACACTCAGTACTTATATGTTTACAATTTATGAATATGTCAGTTGTTGAAAAACAGAATATAGTTAGAAGATAGGACTATGCTTCAACTGTTAAAGACATCACATGTGCAGAATCAATACACAATGAATGAAGTGCTTCAGACCGCACCATCAAACATCAGTGCAAACCAGCAGTTCAAACCCATCATCCAGCTGAGATACAGCCTTGGCTTAAATACTGTGAAAATATACTACTGTATATGTTCTTCTAATTAACACAGATTCAACACTCACATTTATCAACATATGACCGAGTAAACAACTCTACATTTCACGGAGACATTCCATTATTTATATTGGTGGAATGTCAGGATGTCAATTACGTGACGAAGGCTCCTCCAACATCCAATCATCAATGTCAACATTATCTACCACATCATGGTATGTTCAACCTGACAGCTCCACAAACATATTAGGAGTAGTATTTAATTATTCTAGCACATCAACACCAGGTTCTTCGCCCAACGACATCATGCATATTAGACCCAATTTGAATCCAGACAGATCAGGTGTTTTAATCTATATCAGAAGACAACGATGTTTTTTGTTGTCACCGATGTCACTAAAGAGTATATGCAGATCAAAACTCACAAGGATAATTGGGACAATCAGAGAACACTGTGGATAGACGAACAACAAGGAAGTACCTTATCAGTTGACGACAGCCACTTACACTTTCAGGGCCGCCCATTTCTGGCAATCAGAACACGGCTGCAATTAATAGAGGGTGAGGGAAGTACACACCCTCTCACCATGACTTCCATCACTCAGGGAAAATATGTCGCTGACATTTCCGGAAGTGCAAACAAATTAGAACAAGTAACCTGCACTACCAAAATTCATTACGATGGTTTCCTTAACGGGACACGTTTAGGTTCACGACGGAAAGGGCGCCGGTTCAAGTAGTGACCTCACGAAACGCCTCATTAACTCATTAGGTTTTGTATTACCTATGTGATAAAGGATAAAATATTCATGCAAGAGCAATCGCTGCACAAGATCCAATGGGACGAGACAATGCCATTTGAGCCTTCTGCACGATGGATGACAATCGGAAGATATCTCGCCAATCTGAACGACTTTACATACCACGTTGGCTCAACATAAGGAGCACCTCACCCAGAGAACTACACGAGTTCTCTGATGCATAACAATTGGTAATATCGGCAGTCATGTACGTATCGGTTCACTAATAAAATAAAGTACTGACTACATCAATATGTTCCAAGACTAAAGTGGCACCCTTCAAGTCAACACCAATCCCAAGACTTGAGTTTGCTGCACTCCTACTGCGCTACTCCTTTAATGCTCACATAGTACGTCCTCGCCACATTGAAAACGGACGTCATGGTGACCCATCGCTGGACTGACTTATGGGTAACCTCACATGGATAAAGACCCATACATAAAGATAGAAGGAATATGTGAGAAGCAGGGTTGCCAGCATTTAAGACCGCACTTTGAACGCACACCACAGATATGTCCCTGTGACATCTAATCCAGCAGACTGTTCACGAGGGATAAGTGCAACAGAAATTCAAACATATCCATTGTGGTGGACCGGACCATCATGGATCAAATCAGCAGAAGATTGCCATTATGACCATGCCAATCTACATTGGATGACAAACAATGCCAATAAGAAGCAAGATCCGGTATAACATTGTTGGCCACGGACACTCAATCAAATTATCACTGAGATAAAACAGACATATTCATCACTAGATAAATTACTGAGGATTGTTATTTGTTTTGAAAATTCATCACCCGTTAAAAAAAACATGAGCCGTCGTCTACATTCCATATATCAAGGGAAGCTTTAAAAAAAGAGCAAGGACCTTAAGGGTAATGGCAACACTCTTAAGGACAGATTCATGGGAATTCTTACATGGATGAAGTCTCGCGGATCACGCTAAAAGGTTGTGAGAAACAGGCTCACTCAATTCAAGACATGTCTTTCCCAGACACTCACTAGAATTACGTTCCCAATTTATAGATCTGGAAATCTACCAATTCCGGAAGATTAAAATTTAATCATCAACAAAATTTATGATAGCGGGCGGAATTTTAGTCCTATCGATTAAAAATATTAATCTGTGAAGAAATGAGTTCGAAATCATAATTGCTTGTAGAATTAGCCGTGGTACTGAAATTGCATGAGTAATGTAACAAAATTTATTTTTTCACGTAATTAAAAAGAAAAAGTTTCTATTAAAGTTTAAATATCTTTGCAAATTACTAAAAATTTGGATAAAGTAATATAGTGTAATCATGATAGATGGTAATGGAAGCGAATTGATAAACAATTATTTCATTATGTTTGTAGGGTCCTGTTGGCGAAGTAGGTGGAATCCGGCTTCCCCTGCAATCTCTGCATGGCTATGGTTCGGTCTTCATGTATTCGGCTTCGACGAGCACTGGGGGCAGCGGAGGTGTTGTAGGCGTTAGTAGTGGTGTTGGTGGCATTACCCAAAGTGGTAGTGGTTCAAGTGAAGTAACTCTGCGCCAACGCGAGCCTGAGGATATACCGGAGGAGATGCTTGCAAGGCTCGAAGACACTGCGACTTTGTCCATATCACTTCAGGGTGACGCTCTCCTCAGACTCGGTGCTGACACTACGGGTAAGCATTTTTCAAGCCTCTACTAAACTCCTTATTCACTTTATTTCTGTAGTTCACTTGGTTATTTTTCCAAGCACATGCATATGTCAATATTATAATTACTTTTAGAACACTTACTCTTAAAATTATTTATAATAAATATAATATAATAATCGTCATAAATAATAAAATATTACATCATATAAATTCTATATAATATTAATCATTAGAAACTTTTAAAAACAATTGGAAAACTTACATGATTAACTTAAAGTTATTATATTACAATTGTTCTCATTAACATTTTCAATACTATGGTAGTTTACAGATCATAATCAACTGTAATCATCATAATAACTGTATATTCGTAGTATGTATATATTTATCCTCAATACATTACGTTTTGATTATACTTTAATTGTATGTTGATTTTTTGGTTTTAAGTTTATTTTCCTAAGTCTTTATAAAATACTAAGATGGGTTTCAGAGAACACAAAAGATTTAATGCAAAGAATACTAAGACCGTCTATTCTAAAAAATGTCCTAAAAGATCTAAATGAAATTCTTAAAAAGGCTTGAGCTATTTTATTATATTTTATCTTGTGATTATACACTATAAAACTTATACCTGTTCTATACAAAAATATATTTATATTGTTAACTAGTTAATCTAATCGAATTTATCATTATAAACTTTTTCTTTAAATAAACTTAAATATAACACTGTATTTTCTTAGATTAATTTCAGTTGTTATAACGTTATAATCTTTATAAGATCTTTATATGGTTGTAAATGAATAAAAAGCATAATAATTTGAAAAAATATTATTATTTCTAAATAATCATATACACAAATTTATATTCAAAATATCTAATCCTAATATTATTATATATTAGGAATTATATATATATATAATTTCTAATATATAATTCATAATTTGTATATTAACATGTATTATTGATTTAACAATATTAAATAAAAAAAATTATGTATGTTCGGAATAAATTTTTGTCTTTCACTCTTTTAATTTTAATAGACATATTTGACTATTATTATGAAACTTATAAATAATTTCATTTATATAATAAGGTTGGCTTGAATAAATAGCACTTAGAAAGTAATTAGGCTACATTTTAATGTAAATAAAATTTACTTAACTTAGTGTATAAAAGATTGTTAATCAGTTTTTGAAGTTTTTTTGATAAAATTGTATAAAAAATTTAAATAGGATATAATAACTAACTTTTATTAATGCTGTTCTAAAAATACATATTATACAATTCATTTTAATTACATTTAAATCAACCATCGTATTACATAACAAAATGTGAAAGGTTTAATGGTATGGAAGATAAATGATTCTTTAATAAGATTAAATAATATTATAAGAAAATTTTCTTTAAAGCTTATTAAAAAATATAATATGATGTATTTATGATTCTAGTCTAAACTACAATTTAGGTATTTTACATTCTAGAATAATTTAAAAAAAAAATAATTTAAAAAATTTTAGTTCCAAATGTTACTTTTATAGATCTTTATTTCTTCTTTAATTTAAATTTACACTTCAATCAAATGAAATACTTACAACTTCCACGTTTTATGTTTACGAAATATAGAAGATGTATATTTAGATGATATATACACGTTGACACTCGATCAATCGCTGATGCTTGTATGAAATATATGTGCTGAAAAACACATTTTGACATAGAATATTTTAAATTATACAAAATGTATCTTAAAATTTTCAAGTGTATAAAATTATATCTTTGTAACTACAAATTTTCAACAATCGTCAATAACTCTAGTATTCAATATAAGTTGCTTTTGATTTGTAAAGGATTTTAATTACATAACGAAAATAATTTTCTCAGCGCCTTTTCATAATTATTTTTATTATTTGTTTCTTAATCATTTCTAATTTCATTTTTCGTTTCATCACTAATATGCATATGTATTTTGCCCACCGCATGATTTGTTGAAAGGAACGAAAAGGGGCCCAAGGTAGTAATGGGTTATTTCTTGTATATTTCTCATTACAGTGAAATGGGCGACGGCATTCTCTCTTCTACTCGCGGACCCTTGTCGCTTGTGCGCAGCTTGTTAAACGAGGGATTTTAGGTTTTAGCTTGCGAATGCTCGAATGCAGCCGAAGCCGTTTGTGTTCATATAGTGGAGTTCATGAGAAGAACTACGGGACAAAAAGACCAAATTTCAGAGCAATCCAGTCAAAAGTGAGAGAAATAGAGGAACAACTGAAAGAGAGCGGGAAGAGAAAGATGAAGTAAAAGAGAAATACAGAGATTTTAAAGAATAGAAACGAACTAAGCGATAAAGATAATAATTAAGATAAAATGCCATTTATTAATTTGGTACCGTATTCAAATGCTGTTTTACCAAATATATACTTATTCAAATAATACTAACTAAATAGCTTCTATCTGGTGAAATTCTAAAATGAGTCATGTTCGTTGGTAAATATTAAATTTTAGATACTGTTCGGGATTGAAGCAGTCCCATGAATTCCAAACAAAAGAAAGGTCATTTACGCAGTCCGGCGTACCGCATGTGCGCCTAGACTGACCGCGCA